AGGGATACCTAGGTATCTCTTGGGTTCAGCCAAAAGAGCATGCCATACCAATCAGCAGTTCTCTGACTCCACTACTACATTTCTAACCTTGCTAGCAAAACAGCTAGGGAAACCAAACTCAGTGCTCCAGCAAATTCTTTGTCAGAGGGTTTGGGGAAAGAATAGTAACAGTGGTAGCAGCAGAAGCATACAGGGAGAGCACAACAAACTAGTATTCACCATCATTATCAGGCTCTGGCCTCACCTTGCTTGATTTGGCTCCTGTTTGTTTGCAGAAGTGGAAGAGAATGTATTGCCCTAATGCCATTTGAAAACTGAAGCTCCTTGTACCCAACTGATTCTGTTGTTTCTAATATCGCCTATCCTCGCAACAATACCTCCTAAGAATTCATCTGAATAAGAAATAGGGTTAAATGAACAAGATGGTAATCAGAATGAAATAAGTCGATAATTCAGATCTAAGGACCTTCCAGAGCTAGACATATGCTGCATATTGCTAAAAAACCTGTAGCACTACACTCTCCATACTCACATATCTATTTATCATGGTCCATGAAATGTCAGACCTTAAGCCTGTTATTTAGTATGACTGCTTTGGGTAGATGTGTTCAATTTAAATCCTATTCTTATTTTGCATATTAAAGAGATTCAGATTCAAAGTCTATAGTCCTAAAGTGTAGCTCCCTTTTTCTTGGTAAATGTTAAAGGCTATTCCCTGCCTAAGCAAGTGCTGGGAATACCCACAATACCCAGTCACATTCCTGATATTCTTCTAAAAAGCATAAGTGTGCCTGTACAGAAGCTAGCTCACCAGAATCTCTCTTAAAATTTATGCTCATGAAAGCAGGTATCCATGGAAAAAGTGGCAAGAGCAAAGTATTAGCCAATAAGAGACCAACACACTCTATTCAAACCTTGTCAGGATGAGAATGGAAGACAAGTGAGAAGATGGAGAGCTACTTCTCCCTTATATATCAAATAATCTGTTTCAGAACAGCTCCCATTTCTAAAATACCTAAACACCATAATTCCTTCAGAATGAGAAAGCCATGCCATTTACTGACCAAGTCAGAGTCCACAGAGTCTGAGTTCATTTTGAAAGATGAGGTACAGAACTACAACACTACACTGAGGAAGCACTATAGATCTAAACTCCAACATACATAGCCTGGCCACCATGCATTTCCATCTACCACGGGCAAGGCAACAACCTTGAAAATAACTAATTATTTTCACTGATGATGAGTGACTCTATTTAACTTATTTGAATTGGAGTTGCAGTCTCAAGATTTAATATAGATACCTACCATTTTATTTAAAGTGGTGCTGTTCACTCCATCACTGCAAAGGCACTGTAAGCACAGAAACTTGTAATTGGAAACTGGAAATGTGAAACTTTGCTTTAGCGGAACCTTCAAATAAAATATAATTGGTTTTTCAAAAACACAGCAATTCACCAGAAGTTCTCCTGAGAACATTGTAGCAAGGTCAGTAGGGCACCAGTAACAATTCTCAAGATACATATTGCACTACAAAGGAACACAACTACACTAAGAAAAGCAACAAAAACAAAGCCATAATTTTGACAATAGAAAGCCTTGAAACTTGTTTGTTCTTATGCTCCTACTCCTCTACACAGCCCAGGAACACAGAGGTACATTCAACAGCACATAGAAAACAGAATAAGATCTCTAGTGACAACCCAACTACTGAGACCAAAGACAACAAGAAACAATATACAAGAAAATAAGAGTTAAAGCAAATGATGCAAAAGAAGCTCTATGGAAAAAATAAAATCTCTCATCCCTAGAAAATAAACCCCTGCTTTTGCAGGAGTATAAAACAGGAGAGATCTGTTATAGCTCAAGAACATAAAGACTTACTAAAATAAACATTTATACTAACGTAGTGTAAGCATTGACTTCAGCCATGTTGGGAGACAGGAGAAAAAGGAAATCCAACGAAGTTTCACAACAAGAGTTTGGTGAGATGAGTCATCAGAATAGACTACAAAGATTGTCTGAAACAGAAGAGTGGATGTGCCAAAGACTGAAGAAAATCAATCACATTCAGATAGAGGATTTTCAGCATCTTACCTAAAGGAAGACAATTAAAAAGGAAGGTGTAAGTAGACCCTTCATTAGCAGATCATTACCACTAATAGATAGACATGAATTAGTCTGGAGCAAGGCTGTCCAACTGGCGGGCCCATTAGGTGCAAGCAGCCCTCGAGGGGTTAAATTGTGGCCCACAGGGCTTGTCAGTGAGGCTGCTAAATCCTCTGTGTTAGCTCAGCTCTGCTGGAACCAAGGGGTGAAAATCACTGCCACTTGCCCCCTACCCCTTGACTACCACCAAATTTGGGATGTTTGCTTGCTGTTGGTAATGAACATTGGCAACAGGAGAAAAGTAGAGGGTAAGCAACAGTGGCCTTCACCTCCTTGGTTCCAGAGCTACATCCACAGCCCTGCCAACAAGCCTCTACCTTTCTGCCAGAGGTGGGTTTTCCAGTCCGTGAGAAGCCCCATGGGCCAGATCCACCCCATAGGGCCAAATGAATGGGGCACCGAAGCTGAAAAGGCACTGAAGCTGAAAAATAGCCTTGTGCTTAAAGTTTGGTTATAGTTAGACCAGGGGTAAGCAAATCCCAGCATGGGTGCCAGAGCGTGGCATGTGAAGGCATTTTGCTTGACTCACGCACCTTTGGTCAGACAGCAGAGAAGGGGCGGGGGCTGCGCTGCCATAACAAGGATTGGACCCCTTGCAGCTCCACTGCTGCCCGCGCCTTGCATACCAACATCTTACAAGTCAAGGTTGCAGGTGTTTTTGGCACACTGCCCAAAAATGTTACCAACTCCTGAGCTAAGACAGTTGACTGTGTAAATTTGGCAACTTCTTCCCCAACAGGTCCACCATCCAGCTGTAGTCAGAATCATGTTGGCTTATTTTGCTGATAAAGATTTGTTGTTACTGTTGCTTTTATTCACTAGGACTATAAAACCAAAGACACCTAGACTATACAAATGATTACCTGTATTAGCTCTTAAATCTAATTCACTTTACAACTTTTACAGTTTCTCCTTCACTTAGCTCGAGACTTTCTATTAGACAAGGATTCCCTGTTAAAGGCAACCTTAAAGGCATCCTTCTAATTTGACAAGTCTAAAAGTGTCTTTTGTTTGTCATAAATCATTCTGATCTTTTCACTGTACTTGTATTTAACTACTGGATGTTATTTATGTTTGCTACTACCACTGTCAGGATGGCTATTGGCTCATTTACTGGGGCCTTTATCCAGCCAGTTTATAGGTAAACACAGTTCTACTTGTTGGGTAGTAATAGTGATCAGTGGTATATTAGATTTCTGTTGCTATAGAAGATATTTTGGAAGCCCCTTCCCCCTCTGTTGTATAAAATGAAAAATACTAGAACAAATGCAATTACTTTTGGCTCCCTGTATTTTACTCTGAACTCCACCCAAAGTGAGAAACAATGAAAGTGGTAGTGGTTATTTAAGTGGTAGTGTGCGAGTGGGAGTAAAACCCTGAAAACCTGCATGGTGGTTAGGATGAAATGATTAGCAGCAGGCTGGAAGCTAGAGAATGCCCACTGACAGACAAGTTAGAAGTACAATGTTTATAACTGAAAGAATAGTCTGTTGAGAAACCAGAAGCTCAGAATAAGATCCTTGTTCTGATTTGCAATAATTTGAAGAGGAAGGAGTGATGAGTGGTCATGTGACCATAGTTCAAAACAGAATTTGGCCTTGATTCTTCTTCAGTCAAAATGAACAGCTTCCGTGTCTTGTCTATTTTGTCACAAAGAGTTGCATTTCTAAACATGAAAATAAAAAAATAAAATAGACAAATTCTCAGACAAATCAGCAGACAGCTTTGTATTTTGGCAATGCTTATTGAAACCTTAACACTCGCACAGGATGGACAGAAGAAGGTCAGCATATGGTTTTCTGCAATACCTATCACCATATCATTATTCAAGTGCCTGGGACTAGAAAATGTAGGTACATTTGTGAAATTATACATCTATGTGTATATATATGTGTACAAACACAAAGCTGCCCAAGGAACTCAATAAATATTCCCTTATTGATGTAATATGCTAGCATGGTATTTTTAAATACAGCTAATGTGATATTGGTCTTAGGTACCAAAGCCTCGATTGTGCAGATTAATCCCCTTGGCCTTTAGTTTTTTGTTTTATAGTAGTCTTTGTATGCTTTGTAAAGCTATGTTTAAGAGTTGATATGATTTCTAAATCGATATTAAAGATTTTCTAGCACTTACTTTGATGACTGTTATGCTCCAAGTTGCTCAAAAAGCATTAGTATTTCCATATGTTTCAAGATTCTCCAAATGATTTTTTTTTTCTTTTTTTCTTTTTTTTTTTTTTTTTTACTGCTGGGTAGAACAAAATTACCTGTAAAAAAGGAAACATTATTTAAAACTGTTGGGACAAATTAATCCCTATTGCAACACTACTAAGTGGCATTATACTGGGATTGAATAAAACTTCTTATTTTTAGTTTACTCTTATCACAGGGCACGGTTTACATTACATTGTTCTTGCATTTCCAAGAATATTGGTCTGTAAATTTCTAGTTTAAACTTTTTCTTTTTACAATTATAATAATATATGGAGGGAGGAACCAAAAAAAGATATGCATCCTAAAACCAAGTGGACAGATGGACACACATAGGGCAAAAGTTTGCTATAAGCTCAAATTTCACTTGTGACAAAGACCTCACAGAGTTTCAATCTTCCCCAAAGCTGATAAAGACCATTTTAATTTCCCACCACAAGAAAAAATAACTGGCAGTCAAACTACTTTTAAATATGATTAAAGTACCTGGTATTTTGATTTCATCATACCTTGCCAGGTCAGTCTAAAGCAGACATGATTGTTCTAAGGGGTTTTGGGAAGTGGGGGGGGGTTTACCAGAATTACTCTTGAATACACTTTAAATACAAGCTTCAACTTTGCTTTTAAAATCAGTTCCACTGAAATATATTATTTGTTTTCACTTGCCCTCCCTGTAATACAAAGATGCTAGAACAATAACTGTAAGAAACAACATAAAACCAGATCTTCCTAAAGGACCGAAACCTGAAGCTTTTACTTGCACTAAACTTCCACTGACTATCTACCTATGTTTTCTCAAGGTGTTTAGCATAGACATCGATTCTTGACCTTCAGGGACTCCTGAGAAAGGACAAACTAGAGTGATCAGCACTAAAGTAAGTGCTCTCATAGGAAAGAGCAGCAAACCATACAAATGGAATTCCCATTAACATGTAGCACCCCATGATATAATTGACTAGGATCTTTGTTCCATACACATTTTAGGACAAAGTTACTGCACTAAGAATAAATATATTGGTGCTCCTTCACAAACAGCAGTATTATCTTTGTGTTCTACAGATAAGGAACTGAGACAGAAAGACAGTGCAGCTTGTTCAAGATAGCACATACAATCCTTGGCAGAGATGAGAATAGAACCCAAGCATCTTGAGTTCTTGCTTATTAGGGATAATTTCAGCCATCTATCCCCATTCCATAAGACCAACATGCAGTGTTCTTGTAAGAAAATATTCCCAATGATTGAGGCTTTCTCAAGTGTTTGAGAGGAATCTAATGCTATGCTGAAATTCTCCACAGATTAGAAATCCAAAATACAGTTTCTTAGCTGCCCCTATGAACTACAAGCCTTCATGTGAGCACTAGAACCAAACATCACGTAAATACGAAGTGCTATATAATTACTATAATTATACTATAATTACAGCAACGTTTAGTGAAATCTTAGCCCCACTGAAAGCAATGGCAAAATACCCCTTTAAATTCAAGGTGCCAGGATTTTACCCACAGACTAATTGGATTACTCCTGAGTTACACAGATATAACAAAGGATAAGCAGGTCCAAAAACTGAGACACCCTAGAGGAAAATCAGGAAAAGTAGAGTAGATATAATTTCTGTGGTTTAGTACCTTAAAACAACATACAGAGTGTTTTGTTTAAAAAAACACACCATACAAACATGCTAAATCAACATTAAAAGCATCTAAAATGAGGAAAAGAGACACATCCTCAGAGCATGCAAAAGATTTGCTGCAATTTCTCTATGATTTCATTTTTCTATGTGAGCAGGTTTACGTTCTGGCAATACTAATGTACTAGTTGTATCTATCATTAATTTCAGAATTCCATTCAGCAAGCCTTAGCCCCACTGATAAAGGTGAGTTTACTCTTATCAAAAATACATTCCATACAGAGAAAATTGTGTCCACAAAATGAAAAAACATCATTACTACCGTGTCCACTATAAACAAATTATCCTCATGTGGAGGGCACATGGATGTTAGACCATTTCATCATTATATATGAAATACACATTTTGTGAGTGTTTTTAAAACACAGTGTATGTGATTTGTAATAGGTTTTTTAACGTTATTATAGGATGCAGTTGAATAAAGATCTATACGATAGTAGAAAGTAGGATAATTTTCTTTTTATTGTAGGCAGCTTCTTAATTTATTGAGCTAAACCTGCAGCATGACAGATAGCATCCCAGCTCATCCTTTGCCAAGTCATGGACTCTGTAATCACCAGTGCCACTTTCATCATTGTTTTTGCTAATTTTCTCTATTCATTTTGGATTCCTATTTGAAATCTCAAAAGCGTCTTATCAATCGAACACAGTTTTTAATGTTTCCATGTTTCATTTAGACGACTAAAATGTTTAATTATTACATCATTTATACAATCAAATATCATCTTTAAATCAATTGTCTGGACAAGGAACTGATCCAAAGCACACACGAATTTTTCTCTTGAGTTCAATGAGTTTTGGATCAGGTACCCATGGAACTTATGTAAGTAAAAGTAAAATTTCAAAAGATCTTACCCATTTTGTGAGGTAGAATCTGGGTAGAGAAAAGGGGAACAGATAGATATAGGCAAATGGAGCAAATAAATCCATATTTCATGTGGGGGATTAAAAAAATTCACTGCTATATCCTCAGAAAGGACCCTTCCAAAGTCAAAAGAAACCTCACAAATGTGGTTAAAACTATTAGCTCCTTCAGCCTCTATGAACATGCAAAGTCAAGCAAGAAAAGCAAAGCAGGCTCCAGAAGCTAAAGTTGCATTACTATGAGATAAGTCTTACCTTCTCCAGGGACAGAGAGGGACCCTGACACAACCAAATAATTTAGGAGCAAAATTTAAAGCAACCACCTGGATAATCTGGGCCTCCCAAGTATCAGTAGATTCTGCTCTATAAGAACTCCCTATGTAATCATGGCTACCTGGGGACAGGGAATAAAGGTAAATCACAAGAGGAGCAGTGGCAGCCCTTTGTCCAGTCTTGGAGCATATCTATATTATATGGTCACTTTCCTGACAGGGCTATGGTGACAGAGGTCCCCACTGGAAAAAAGGCCTTTGGCCACAGAAGGATGATTTTCTACTATCTTTGCCAAAACACCTCCCCAAATGATAGGAGCTCTGTTAGCAAAAGCCCTTCTATTGGCATAACTCTGTTCAGATGGTGGGGAAATTGCTGGCAGACATGTTCAGGGCCAGATTAACCCTTTAGTGGGCCCTAGGCAAACAAACTCATGGGCCCCTACTTTTTTTTTCACTCAATAATTATAATATGTAAAATAAACACAACTGGGCCCCTTCATCACTTAGAGCCCTAGGCATGTGCCTAGTTTGCCTATGCATTAATCTGGCCCTGCCTATGTTAGCTAGGGACTATGATCTTTCCATACTCTCTAGCTGACAACTTTGCTGGTAAAACTTTGTAATGTAGACAAAGCTTTGGTTGAAGGTGCATCCCATGACAAGGGATACCTGAGACCTCATGCTAGGGACCCATGTGTCAGGAATAAATATGTTTATATCAGAATCATAGCTTGCTTGCATGCTTGTAAAGCACGTTTCTAGCCATCCTGGTTAAAAAGGATATCTTAACATTCCGAAATCAGTTGGGACAAAAAACGTAATAGAAAAAAATTAAAAGTTGCCCAGTCTTGCACCACAGTCTTTCAACTGAAAAAAGAAACTGCATTGACTAGAAAGCCCTTGTGCCTAAAGTGGGAAATGACAACAGCTATAAAAAATAAGAACCCCCCAGCTTTAATAAACAGAAGAAAGAAGAAGCTGATGACAATGAAAATGAATCAAACTAGGAAATGTTGAAAACTGATAGGGGATGCAGAGTGACACTAGGCAAAAATTTATGCCAGCAGACTGAAGGACAGTGGCTGCATCTACACATGCACTTTACTGTGTATAAGACTAATGTGCAGTACAGTGTCACCATCTACACATGAGCCGCAATTAGTGCACAGTATATTACTTTACTCCAGCATAGGATAGCCCCATCAGACACAGGTATTATCCTATGCCACAGGAAATTACTGCATTTAAATGCACTTGTAGACAGTGACATTGAGCCAGAGTATATTCAGCTACATTATTTGCATGTGTAGATATACCCATCAAGGAGGAGTTTAATTAAATGTATTAGGAACAAAAGGAATCCTAACAGTTGTATCAGAAATAGTACAGAAGATAAAAGTTCAACATATATTTCTGCTCTGTGGAAGGGAAAGGAATATTAATTCATGTCAACAAACATGAGTTTATGGAAATAATTCTTGTCAAACTAGCTTGCTATCTTTTTTTACAAGATGCAAGTTGGTTGATAAGGGTAATTAATAATGTTGATGTAACATATTTGGACTTCTGTGAGGCATTTAACTTGGTACCATATAAGAAATGACATTTTGATTAAGAAACTAAAATGATCCAAAATTAAGAGATGACATGCAATAATTGGATTAAAATTAGCTATCTGATGGCCCTCTAAATGTAACTGTAGACGGCTATGTTTCTAGTGAAGTCCCAAGGGAATTGTTCTTGGTTTTGCAATATTTTAAATATTTATTAATGACAAAGAAGAAATTTTAAAAAATCACCACTGGTAAAGTTTGCAGATGACAAAAATTGAGGGGGAGTGGTAAATAGCACAGGGGGTATATAGTTATATATTGTTATAAAGCCATCTGTAACATGAGTCTGTAGGATGGGTCCAAGTTAACAATGTGTGTTTTAACAGAGTCAAATGTACAATCATTCATCTAAGAACAACGAACGCATGCCATACTTATAAAATGGGCTCTCTATCATGGGAAACAGCAATGCTGGAAAAAAGATTTCAGGGTCATGGTAGACAGCTGCCTGAATATATACACCAATTGTGATGCAGCAGCCAAAAGGATGCGATTCTTGGATGTATCTTGTGTAGGAGTTGAGAGGATATACTACCTCTGGATTTGGCACTGATACA